GGGGTACCCCCTCTGACAGGCCTGCCAGGGATGGCACCCAGCAGTGGGTAGAAGCTGGTGGTGGTGAGGGACCTGGGACCTGTACAAGAGCCAGGGTCTTTTCTTTTGCAGTACAGGGTGCTCTACCTGTGGCCGAGCTACACCGAGCTACACCGAGACACTGAGCGACATCCCCGGCTCTTTTTTTTTACTGTTTAGTTTGAGACACGGTTTCATTACGGCCCAGGTTGGGGTCAAACTTGCAATTCTCCTGCCTCCACCTCTCAGCATGCTGGGACCCCTGGTGTGCACCACCATGCCCTGCCAAGAGGCAGGGTCTTGAGCAGCATGAAGCACGGGGATGGACGGGCACAGCCTGCCACACAGGAGATGGAGACAAGGCTGGCTGGCCCGCCTCTGACAGCTGAGGGAGTCCCCTTCCATTGTGGAGGTTTACAGGACCCCATCCTTCTGGGAGACTCTGAAAGGCTTTCTAGAGGGTGCATTTCATGGAGGGTAAGAAGACAGTAGAGCAACATCAAGCTCACAGCCTACGGCGGCTGGATGCCACCACTTCAAGACAAGGCACAGGGTGACAGCGTATGAGAGTCAGGTGGCAAGGCCTGGGGTGCTGTGCCCCTAGCTTTCCAGAGGGGGGGGACCCTGTTATATTAGGTCAGCCACCTGCAGGCTGGGTGGGTGGTGCACTGGCACCCACCCCTCTGCGCATGGCCCATCCCCACGGTGATCGGAGGTGCCTTCGGGGCTGGTGCCACTCCTCTCCTCGGGGGCCTGAGCACCTCTTTGCAAGGTGTCCTCAGCCAATTTCCCCTGTCCTGCAGCAGCAGCTCTAGCACCTCCCTTGCCCTAGTGTATAAGCATGGTGTTCATGCTTGTAGGCCCAGCCCACTGGACGATGTCTACAAGTCTGTGAGGTCCCACTGTGCATCTCCTGCCCATGCCTCTCCTTGCCCTCATCTTTCCCTTCCTGTCTACCAGGCATCTCAACTTTAGTGAGTCAGAACTGAAGTCGGAAGCCCCTCCTGCCTGAGTCAGCCTCCTCTCAAGAAACCTGCTGTCTAGGAGCCCTGGGGCTGGGCTACTGCCAGTGGCTCAGACCAAAGCCCGGGAGTCATCTGCAGTTTCCTGTCACTTCTTGCGTTGAACCTGCCCTAAGTTCCACTTTTGGCTGCACCTTCCAAACAGATCCCAAATGTGGTCCCTTTTCACCACGGCCACCACCTGGTCCCTATCACAGCCACCTCTTGTCTCAGAGATGGCAACAGATTTGCGGTGGCCTCCCTTCTACCCATGGTCTAGTCCTGCAGCAACAGGCAGACAGAGGCTTGGACAAAGTGTGGCCAGATGCCCTCAGCTAAGCTGTCCAATGGCTCCACTGCGCAGGGAAAAGCCAAACCCCTGCAGGGCCTGCAGGGCCACAGGGCTCTGCCTTTCCCTCACCTCTGTGACCCACTGCTGCTCTGTCTTCCCCTTGCTCACTTCGCTGCAGCCAGGCTGGCTTCGGGACGTGCTCCCATCACAGGACCTTTGTATCACTGGGGCCTGTCCCTTTACTTCTGCCGAGACTGTCCTGACGCTAGGTTTTTAGGTGGCTGACCCTGACTGGTTTGAAGCTTTATGCCTTACCTGTTCTTCCTGACCTCCTTGTCTTATTTTTCTCCTACAACACAGATCACCTTCTAAGCCACCCTGAGCCTTGTTTATTTACTGCATCTTGTCTAACCCCTCCCACTGGAAGGTGAGCTCCTGGTTTGTCCCCATAGGGCAAGGGGCAGTGGCACACAGTGGAGTGGATTCTACCCAGCAGGGGACCTGTATTTCCTCCAGCTGGAAGGCACAGGGGCTCCCAGGAATTTAGGGACCCGAGTGGGGGCAGAACTGGCCAGGCACAGGCATCCAGAGCCTGGCAGGGCCAGTTGGTCCTCTGGGGACCAGATAAGTACTTAATCCACACTTGGCCCCACCCAGGGTAGACCTCAGATCTGCCATAGCCCACGGTTTCCCTGTGCCCATGCCAGTGAGTACATACCTCCTCAGCTGGGCCCCCTCACCCCAAGCCTGGCTGTGGACACTCAACTACACAGAGTCCTAAATGTCACACAGAGGGAACAACTTCACCCAGCATAGCTGACCTCCACATCTAAATTTGTTCTTTTCTTGGGGCTGGGGATTTAGCTCAGCGGCACAGTGCTTGCCTGGCAAGCGCAAGGTCGTGAGTTCGATTCCTGGTACTGGAAAAAAACCAAAAAAAAAAAAAAAAAAAAAAAAATTTGTTCTTTTCTTTTTTGTTGGGTCGGTACTAGAGATTGAACCTAGGGCCTTCATACTGAGCTACATCCCTAGGCCTTTTTGAGACAGCATCTCACTTTAGTTGCTAAGTTGCCCAGGCTTGGCTTGAACTTGTGATCCTCCTGCCTCAGCCTCCCACAGTGCTAGGATAACTGGTGTGCACTAGCACACCCAGCTCCAGTTTTGTTATCAGCCATACAGTGGAGTCAGTGAGAGGGTATCTCACCCTCCTTCCATGCCACCCTGCCTGTTCTCAGCATGCAGTTCTGCAGAGGACTGTGCTACCCAAACTGAGCACCCACCAGTTGATGGCCATGTCAGGCCCTGGCAGCACTGGCTCCCTGGGTAACCTGAGTGCCCAGTTTGGAGTAGGCCAGATTCACAAAGACCCAGGGAGCCCTCCTGCACTGGCACAAGGTAGAAAAAACCCTCACCCAAGGGAGCTGCTCTAGCAACCAGAAGACAATGAAATGACACTTGTCAACTGGAACCAACATGCACCGAGACGCTGCTGAGCAGTTTCTAGCTGTGTTACTCTTTCCCCGTCAGCCCTGAGAGCTTGGTTTATTTTTCCTTTGCACAGTTCTGGGGATTACACCCACGGCCTTGCAAGTGCTGGGCAAGGACTAGGCCACTCAGCCGCATCGCAGCGCTAGCCTGCCATTCTTACAGTCCCTGATACAGAGCGGGACACTGCAGTGCCAGGAAGTCAGATTCATCCGTTCTCTGTAAAAGATGTCCTGAGTGTCAACTGAGACCTGTCCAAGGCTGCCAGCTCATAAAAGACCACTGAGACTGCAAAGCGGCACCTGACCACAAGGATGACTTCAGTGCCTCCCTGCACAAAGGAGTGGTCTTCAAACTTCATTCTCTATGGCACTCACTATGGCCCCCAAGAGAGCAGCTTTGCTGTACTTGTCTGCACATTTTTTGTTTGTTTTTTATTGTACTAGGGAACTGAACCGAGGGCCTTCACACTGAGCTATATACCCAGACCTTTTCAATTTTTTTTTTTTTAATTATGACAGGATCTTACTAAAAATTATGACAGGATCTAGCTAAGTTGCCCAGGTGGGGCTTGAACTTGTGATCCCAGAGTGCTGGGATTATGCCACCATGCTCGGTGTCCACAATTTTACTTGTGGGATACAAGGCCCTTGCCATTGACATTCTAAGAGTATGAGCTACACAGAAAGGGCGGGAATTCAGCAATGCCTGGCCAAGGCCAGCACAGGCTGTGTCTCCCACTGTTACAGCAAACGGCTCCACACTGGGTGATCAGACCGGAATCAGCGGCCTGCAGGCTGGGTCCCAGCCAATGTCCCAGTGGTTTCCAGAACTTTCCAAGCTCCCTGGGTGGCTCAGCAAGCTGAGGTCCAGGTCTCTGCTACCTTGCAGGAACCAGTGGCAAGTGGAAATGGGGACCAGCAGGCTGCATGTGCCCCAAGCTGAGGCGCTAGGACCATGGTGAAGGAGTCCCAGCCTGAGGTGGCCACTGGAAGTCCTGGTCAGCATGAGACAGGATCCTTGCAGACAGCTCCTGGGCTCCAGCGTGCTGCAGTGACACGGCCACCTGCTTATCTGCAACTGTGTCTCCTTGGAGCAGCAAAGCAGCTCACAATTTCCTACAGGTTCACTTAGCTGCGTGGAAGGCAGAAAGGCCCAGTGCTGGAGGTGAGCAATCAGCCTGGAGTAGGGTGCCCTCCAGTGGCAGGCACAGGGGGAACTCGGTTCCTCTTGCTCTGCCAGCTCTGGTTTCTGGCTATTTTCTTCTACGGGAGGGGCTGGCACTGGGAGGCAGCACTAGCAATACCCACATCCCACAGTGGTTGTCTCAGTCTCATGCCGCGAGTCCCCCTGGAGGGAGGACTGAATTGGTTTCATTTGGAGAGAGCTCACAATTATGCATCGCACAAGGGAGGTTCACATTCTAAAATCTCCAAATTAACACGCAACCAAGTAACCACCCTAATAGTTACACACCATGTGGGTGGCAATTCTTTTCACACCCAGTACAACACAAGAATCATCCCGAGTCACACACATGTGCAGCAGCCTCACAACCAACTCTGCAGGGCTTTGGCGCCTCTTCCCGCCAGCACCAGCCAGAAAGAGGGCCCATCTCAGAAAGCCACAGACATTGCTCCTCCTCCCTCTCCCCACTCCCTTGCCAGCGTTAGCTGGCACCCCTGGCTTGACTTTCCTCACATCAGCAGCCAGGGACAAAGCAAGACACTCCTACTGCAGTTGAGGCCAGGCCACTGAGCAGGTGTGACAGGCTTTGTACAGGGCCCTCAAGCCCTGTTTTTTTGGCTTCTACCATCATCCCAGTACTGCAGTCAGCAAGATGGGCCACCATTCCTGGTCCTCACAACACATCGAAGGGCAAGTAATAGTGCCGACATCTGACAGACAAGGAAGCCAACACGGGGAAGTGTACAAGTTCAAAGGCACACAGTCAGGGTGACGACAGCAAGCAGGAAGGCAGGCTCTTAGGGAGTGCTTCTGAGGACAGGGACCTGAGGACAGGCCAGCCAGCCCCACACCCCACGTTTCTGCCAACACCTGCCAGAAGCTACGCGCCAGAGGATAAACTGGAAGGCGAACGTGGGGAGAACAGCCATTCTCCAGCTGCCCTTGGGACCCAAATGAAAGCGTTTGCTGCTTTTCCTCAGGCCAGAGCACTTTAAATAAAAACAACCCACACGTTGTTGTGTTTGTATAAAAGATATTTACTTCAATTATCACACCTAGGGTGCTAGTGAATAATAATAATACATGGTGTGAGTTTCAGTGATATTGCTTCTCCATATCATATAGGGACCGTTGTACAGTGCTGAGAACAAACATTGTATGGCTAACCAAAGACAGAAGGGACAACGCTGAGGGGCCGACGGGTGTCTCCCCCACCCCCATGCCAGCCAGATCAACTTTGACTCAATGTGGAAAACAAGTAGCAAGAACTAAAATGTTATCAGAGATGAGTCACAGCGACAGAGGCTTCTCAAAGCTATTTGTACAAAAATGACGCCTTTTTTTCCTCTCTCTTCTTTTTTGGTCAACTGGGTCTTTGTGAGGATTAAGGGGGGAAAATCTGTGATTGTATTAACAAACAAGCTCTAGAAAACATCTAAGACTTAGTGCGTTACAGAAAATATAAAATACTGCTAAAATGTAAGACACCACAAAGCACTGGGAGCTGAGCTTATGAAGGGCTGTCTGCAGAGGTCACCGCTTGGTGACATGAGTCTTGTGCTGTGTGTTAGTAGTCTGGACAGGAGCGTGACGCTACCCGCTCTCACCACAAGTAGTTATTGCACAAATGCAAAGAGCTAGGTCTCTTACTCTGTGGGAAGGGACGTGGGGGAAACTACCTTGTCATCTTCTTCCCCACTTTTTTTTTTTTTTATAACAAGCTATTCTCAACTGCTTTAAGAATTTTGAATGAATTCTCACGTCTCCAAAATGCACAGCATTTTCTGAAGAGTCTTGGAGGGTGGGGACATGAGATGCCCGTTAAAAGGCAGAAAATGGGGGTGCAGAGGGAATGAGGGAGAGAAAGAGAAATGCATAGACTAATTAGAAAAAAATGAAAACCCTTTGGGGAGATGGGGCAATCACCTCGTTGGAGGGCTTTCCCCCCTCCCAGAGATAGGAACAAAATCAGGACCCCAAAGATTTCAGACAAGGGGACAAGTCATAGCAGAGAAGAAATGCTCTGCTATGTGGGTCTGGGGTAGGTGACCCTTTGGGGGCACAGGCAGCAGTCCAACCTGCCTTGGGGAGGTGGACTCCCTCCCCCATGCCTGGGGAGCAAGGAACTGAGTGTCTTATGACTGTGCTTCTCTAACCACAGTAAGTTCTTTCTCCACATCCAGGCTTCCTCCGTGTTTCCCTGCCCTGGAGAGAAAGGGGCTCTCTCGCCCACAATTTCCCAGGCTGAGCCCTCCAGCCACTGGCGGTGCTAAGAAGCACCTGTCACTTCACAGGATACTTTTGACCAACTTTATGCGCCAGGACAAGGATAACAGAAACCAACTAAAATATAGCAACCCATGCGGGCCTTGCAGAAAACCGCTCTCCCGCTCAGAAGTGATGGTCTCAGTCGGGCCACTGTACCTTCTCTGACCAGGGCTCGCTGAACCTTCATGAACCCAGAAGTCTTAACAGAGGCTCTAGGAGGCTTTGGGGAACTGAACTTGGCTTTCCCATTTCCTCTGTAGCTCCTCACGAGCAATCGATCTGCCCCTCGGCCCTTCCTGACCGTGGTAGCTTTGCATTCACCAACTCTCATTCAAACAGTTAAGACCACCAATATTTTGAGTGGCTACACAGGAGACAGGTGTCTGATTCTGCTGGAGAACCCCTTCCCCTTCTGCCCCTCCCCATGCATATCCCCAGACTCTTAGCTTCTGGGGGTGGGGGGGGAGCAGAGGACAGTAACCACTGGAGTGATAGCAAAAAGCATTAATAATGACAAAAATACAAAACAACACACTCCTGATAAGTACTTAAATGATTAACCTAATAATAAATAGAAGAGGATAGAAATAAATTTTTTTCTTTCTCAAGGAAACATCCTTTTATAACCATCCTCATGCACGCTGTCGGTCAGTAGCAGTCAGTCCGTCTCAACAAGACAAGGTTAAGTGCTGGAAGGGCTGACACTCGGGAAGGCTCTCGGCTGCTCAATCACAGGCACCCCACCCTGCTGCACCCAGGCCAGTAGATCTGGCTGAGCCCACAGACCCAGCCCGCTCAGCTCAGCAGGGGCAGCTGGGTCACCGCAGGGGCCGGCAGCCCCGTTTCCCCTTCAGTTCATGAACACATGGACTACAGTGAACACAACTCAGCCACAACCTGAATCATCCTGGTCTAAAGCTTTGAGTTCATTTGGTGTGCAATGTGCTATCTTTCAAAACCGAACAAACATTGTTTCTATTGCACCGAGCTTTTACACATAGTCATCTATTTAAGTGCTTTCTGTTTAAAGCAAACTACAAAAAAAAAAGAAAGGGGGGAGGAATTATAAAACAAAAAACAGCCCCTTGCCACCTCAATGCGTCTTGCTGTGTGGTGTATTGTTTTGCTAATGGAAGTCCCAATGCTTCCATACACTGTGCTTCTGATTATTTTCCATAGGGAAAGAACTGTGACATTGGGATTTAAGGCACCTTTCCTTTCTGATCACAGAAAGCTTGATACATAGCATATAGCATATTTTGTGGTAGAAATTAAAGCCCAAACACTACAGAAATTACAGTAACGCAGACTATCTACTCCTTAACATGAGGAAATGAAAGTGATCAATTAAACTTAAAGGCATTTAAAAAGTTGAGTAATAGGGAGGGGGAAGTGCACATTTATGCATAGCCTAATGTCTTTCTCTCACTAGCTTTTCTTCAGGATGCTTCACCTATAATGCTGCACTTTTAAAGTTAGCATTTTGGAGGAGACCAGGCGCTTTGGAAATGTCTTGTTAAAGCTAAATGTCACTTCATCCAAAAATGAAAATTCGAGATGCCACTGATGGCGTGGACTGGAATCTTTGGAGGGGTAATGGCAGAGGAAGGGTGGTAGGTGCAGTGTGGTGGTAGGGGGGCAGGTCTCAGGAGTCAGGTAGTTGGGAGGAAATAGCTTTCCTTTTACTTCCCTGATTAGGAACGCAGGCCACTAGGGCTTTTGGGCCGACCCATTATATTGTGGTTTACTACCCTCTCCTCTTGCATCCTGATTGATCCCCCTGGGTCTTGGCCCTTAGCTTTCAGCCCATCTCAAAGGATTTATAGGCTGGATCTTTTTGGAATTTTATTTGGAAATCTGTTTTCCCTTTTTCCCTGGTAGTTTTCATCTACAAAAAAGGCAAAACTGATGGGAATGAAAATGACATTGTCAAACTGGACCGCTTTCTTAGTATGCAAGTGTGCTGGCCAGACTGTCCCACAGCCCACTGGGAGACGCAGCCGAGCCATGTTAGAACCCTGGGCCACCATCTAACCAGCCAGGACAGGAGCCTTGCCTCGGTGGTCATGAGGCTTCTTCAATGTCAAGGACCCAGTGAAACCACAGCAGGAGCACCACAGGGATTTCCAAGTGTGAGTGTCTCCTGCACGGTGCCCAGGCACAGAATAATGATACAAATCCTCAGCACGGTCCCACTTCCCACTGCAACACCCTGGCCACCGTGGTGGGTGGACCCACCTTCAACCAGCAGCCCTGACAGCTGGTCATCTTTGACACTGAACAGAAACTAGAAAATTCTTTTGGGAAGAACACCTGGCAGGCAGGATAGAGAAAGCCCTATGTCCTCACCTATCTTTAAAGATACTTGATGCCTACAAGAGATTCAGAGACCAAAGTCATGACCCCAGTGCCAGAGATAAGACATGGAAAGCGACAGAGTTGCTGGGGAAGCATGATCATGTGGCTGTCTGGGTGAGCTCAGGGCAACAGGGATGGCTGAGATGGATCTTAACAGCTGTGCAGAAAAGTGCAGGACACAAAGGCAGACCAAAGACAAGGTCTTCTGAGGCCTGCAGTCACCCCTGCCTACAAAGGAAACAGCTGCAGGAACTGCAGGAACTTCAAGAACAGGTGAGTGTCACGAGGAAAAGCCATGTGTCTTGCAGGGCCCAGCCGTCTGGTCATGTCATGCTCACAAGAGAGGCAAAAATCCTGCCTAGCAGGCTGAGAAGCTCATGTCTGCCATGCTTCAAGCTGTTTTCACCTCCCAGCCTCCTTGGCCTTGACAGGTGACATCAAGCGGAGACCACAGGTTAGTGAGGTAGAAGGGGTCAAATGAGGAGTGGGAAGATGAGGGGGAACATCCAGGAAGGAACAGGGGCATCCCAGCAGTGAGAACATTTCCAGCCTAAAGTACTGTGGCTAAGAGCCCAGCAAGCTCACCATACACCCTTAGTCTCTGTGTTGCTCTTTCCCCTGCATAGTGGGCTTGCAAGAGGCTGGCCTTGGAACGACTAAGGGCAGATGCTTGTTTCTGTAGGCACCTGTCACAGTACATTTAAGGCAAAGGCTCAAGCTGTAGTTAGCGACCAACTCCATTTCATTTTGTGCTAATCCCAGGAGGACATTTGTAGATCTCCCTGACTCCTCTGCTGTTTCCAGGTAGATTTGTTTTCCTAAAAGTAGAGGAATGAAAGCCATTGCATAGACTGTCCAGAGCTCATTGATCACCCCGGCATGAAAAGATGTGCGTTCCAGAGGAACACAGACATCCAGTCCAGCTGCAGCAGGGAAGGCATCTGCCCAAGGATGAGCTTGCTGGTGACTTTAGTTCCCATGTGAGGGCAGGCCTGTGGCAGTCCACAGCTTCTCCTCTAGGTCACATACAACCTACTCCCTGCTTGGTTTGCAGCACCATGACCTTGGCCCTAGCCAGGAGCAGACAGGGTATAAGCGTGGGCCATGTGGATCTGTGGAGTGCTGGGGGTCAGGGAGGCTCTCTCCTGGCCATGAGAAGAGCACAGAACACCAATTCCTAAATTAGCAATGTGCCTGTACCACTAGAGCCACATCAGATAGTTTTTTACATGGGGAGACACACTGAGGCCAACAGGAAGGAAGCTGGATAGGGAGGCGTTTATACTTCAGGGGCACAAGGAGCTGTCCTGGGGAGGCCGAGAGCTGCTATCTTTTGTCTTGATTGCTTTCCCAGAGCAGCATGCTTAGCAGTAGTCCTATGAGTCATGATCTTGGCATTTCTCAGAGATTTCTTCTAAGCCTGCATCCCAGGGCACCTACCCCAGGATGGGAACAGAAGCCACTTCATGTCACAGTGTTCCTCAGGCTGGTTGCCTAGAAGAACCAAGTTCATCTAAATGGCTATACAACCCTTTCTAAGGAAGGTAAGTCTGGTGGACCAAAATCAGACATCTTGACTGATCCTGAAGTTCCAGACAGGAGGTAACGTGGGAGCTAGGCTGGGCCAAAAGTGAGGAGACAGGGGTCCAGGACAGAACCCATACGTCTCAGATACCACAAGGGGACTTGGGCAGGACGCAAGGGTCAAGAGGCCAGATGCAAACACTGATTTGATGCTGGGCCCCCACTTAGCCAGCTAAGTAATGGCAGAGACCTCTAGTTATGAATGTTGTCTCCAATTAACAAAAAAGAAGCCATTTAAAATGGTATAATGGAGCTTGTAATTAAGTGTTAGTGTTTTATATGGAACTGTTTCCCCTGGGGAGAGGTACACATCAGCTTTTTAAGCTGACAGAGAGTAAAGAGGAGGATTGGCTGCCTGTGGAGCTGCTGCTTGGATGGCCAGCCAGTGGAAGGTAACCACTCAGAGGGGTGCTGTTCAAGGCACTTGAATATTGCTTATCAAGATGAAAGATGAACCCTTAGACTCAAACTGAGGGGCCCAATAAGGAGGGGGCTGCTCCCCCTCCACAGGTTTCTGTGTTATTTAGTGGCAGATCTTAGAAGTACTACAGACAGTGCTAGCTTAACACAAAAGATCATAAGATTAGGATCTCCATACAAACAAATAAATAACAAAGAAAAAATACAAAATAGATCCGTTCACAAGCAAAATCTAACCCACTGATTGTATCGAGCACCCAGATGTAAGTCTGGCAGAAGACAGAATGAGGATGGAAATCAACAATAACCCAGTTCAAAAGTAAAGAAATACAAAACAAACAATGAATTAATTGTTTGAAGAGCCAAAGTGGCTGTGCTAGACTATTACCATTTGGCCACGAGGACTGACAAAGCTAGACTTTCCAATTTCCTCAGATTTAACACCTTGGTAACAGTCATGCCTTTGAAACTAAAATACTAGCCTAACAGTTAACTCCCTGCTTCTTATTCTAATAGGTATTTAGAGGTTCATCACACATGATGACAAAGTTCCCTTGAGGTTTTTGTGGAGACAACACCACAGTACCATCAGTGGCTCTGCCCCTCACTGTCCTAAGGGCCCCTGGCATGAACTCACTCTTCCTACGGCACCTGCAGCAGCCAGCTGGATGTTAATCTGCTTCCCCTTAAGCACCTCCATTGTGGATCCTCTTCTCACTGAACCAAGATGTCAAGTTCAGAAATGATGCAACTGTCCAAAGACAAACAAAGGGCCTGCCTCCCAGCCTCCTAGAGCCTTCTGAGTACTTCTTATTCATGAAAAGGCATTGTCTTTAGTGTAGTGACTCTTAAGTTTGTGAAAACTTGAACTAAGTGCTGCAGTTGCAGGTTAAAAAGACTGTAAATGAAATACATAATTTCTAAAACATCATGCAAGAAATGTGGTTTCACATCTTACAGTCAAAGTCCTACAAGTTAAGTAATAACAAGCACACTGAGGTGTAATAGCGGGAGCATACCTTTAAAATTAGAACTCCCTCCCACCCCCCCAAATCAAAAAAGTATATTAATTAAACTTAAGAAATAATGAATGCACCATTAAAATGTCATCCAAAGATGTTGACCTAAGACAAAGGTTTCAATGATACACAATACGGTCAAAAAGTTTTCAATCAGTAATATACAGTATGACAACTACATCTTGTAAATTATACCCAATACTGCCGGCAGTCTATCCCTCTAAAGAATATTTGCCCCTTTCATCCCTTCCTAACAATCAGATAATAAAATACAGCACCTATAAATAAGCAAAAAAAAATATATATATACCGAAATCATCTATTGTTAGTTTAAAGATATGGCAATAAAGGAGTCTAAATTAGCAAACTTGTAGAAGCCATAACTGATAAAACAGCTTATTGAAAAAGGTGGCAGTAATGCACTCTATGTGTGCACAGGTACTTAAGAAAATACACAGACGTATAAAATTGCACACACGCACGCACGCACACTCTCATCCACCTCTATTCTCACGCATATACACATAGACAACAGGAGGAATCAGAGACAAGTTAGACTTCTGATTGGTACTTAGACTGCCCTAAACTGTGCATAAAAGAACTTCCCAAGAGGTGAAATGAATGAAGGGCCAATGGTCTGGTCTGGAAATGAAGAGCGGTCAGCGTTTTGGTGAGTTTGGGCCGTCTCTGCAGGGTGGGAGCGGGGCCCAGACCGCCACGTCCTCTCTTCTGTAGGGAAGGAAGCTTCCCACGAGTTCGACAGGGTCATCAGTGCTTGTGGTGGGAAGGAGGGGAAGAGGGAGTGCGCATGTGCACCAGCCCTGCCCAGGCCCAGGGAGCATCTTCCCTGGGGGGGCTCAGTCCATCAGATGCCCAGGAAGAGTGGTGTGAGGTGAGGTGCCTTCTGTGTCAAGGAAAGATAGGGTGGGGCTGCCGGGCCCCAGGACTGCCTGCTGCGACCTTGTCGGCCTATTCTTTCCTGTCTTTTAATGCTCGCACATGCGCGGACGCACGAACACAGACGGAGACACCATAAATTAAACAAAATGAACGGGTACATGCTACAGTTCTAACTTGTCTCCTAAACCTCCCAGATATGAGGTCTGATCAGCGTGCTCTGCGGTTAGAGGTTAAAAAGCAGATTATAAAATACCTAGATTCGGATCTTTTCTTTTTGTCCTGATTTGGCCTAGAATGGAGTGTATTAAACAAACCCTGGGCAGCAAAAGCCCTGGGTCAGTTAAAGCTATGGATCAATGTGCACTACATGTCAGGATTCTATTCACGTACAAGAAAACACTACATCAGCTACCACAAAAATCAGATAAGTTTCCTGATGTGACTTTTCTTTTTGTTAAAAAATATGTGGAGTAAATGCGTTTTTATTTTAATTCAAAGTTTCAAACGAGATTCTTTTCTTGAAAATATTTAGGAATCCAAACTAGTGTGTTTAGAGTCGGTTTGACTGTGCAATCTCTTAGTGGCAACTGAACAGCTACAAAAACTTTTTAAATTTTTTTTTTCTGAAAAATCCCCCCTCCCCCCTTTTCCTGGTTTAAGAAGATAATAGTGTATTATCGCTCTGAAGCCATTAGATGGCAGATAAAAAGCCCCCTTTTAATATGTGGGTTTGACTTCTTTCTTTCTTTTTTTTTTTAAAGCCCACACGAAAGAGGAGGGCACAAGGCAAAAGCTGTAAGAGTTATTCCAGAACCTGTGGAAATCACTTAGGGCAATTAAAAAAAAAAACACTTCAGGGTACAAAAAAGCTGGACTACACATTTTCCGTTTTCTTCCTTGAAAACACGACATAGATTGGGCTTAATGCTCCTTTGTTTTCTATATGCACCTTGGCCTATGGCGATTTTGCCCTGTGGCCCGCAGGGCTAAGTGCGCAGCGCGGGGCTCCGGCCTCGGCCCACGGGGCTGGCCCGGGCGACCCGACCAGACCCCGACCAGACCCGACCCGACCCGACCCGATGCTCGTGCCGGCCCAGCCCGCGCCCTCAGAACTCCCATTCGATGGGCTCCTCGCGGCTGGCGGCCTTCTCCAGGCGGTGGATGATGCTGTTCAAGTTGGCGGCCTTCTTCTTGCGCACGGGGTTGTCGTGCGGGTCCCGGGCGCCCGCCGCCTCAGGCAGGCCGAAGAGGCTCTGCAGCGAGCGGGGCCTGCGTGCGGCCGTGGGCGCGC